ACTTTAAATGACAAGAAAGCTCCCTAAATATTACAAACAAATTAAGTGTTTTAAAAAACGATTATCATTCTTATTAATTATCCTGTATATAATTACGTGTTAGTATTGTAAAATCTTATGTTAAAATGTTCGCGAGATAAAAAAAAGAGATAACATAAATAAGTAAAAATTACTGTAATCCATTCTAGTTTCGAATTCTCTTTAACCAAAGGAATTTTTATTGAACGAATCATTGAAATCACGACGGAAACGCACTGTCGTAAGCTTTGTTTTCATTGTTTGATATAGAGGGCTGCTTCTGATGATGGTGACATTAGGTCTAGAAAGTTCATAAAAGTAGTACCATAATACATGGAAAGTACGTGATAATGTAATAATCTAGATATTTCGTGGAATTCGGATAAATGGGAGTACATTATAAATACGTGTGACCAGTGTGTGAAGATTCAATGAGAGTTGAGTGAAGTATTTACTGAGAGATTCAACTCTGTTTATAGTGAGATTTGTCGCATTTATTAAGTTAATCGATGGATTAGCAAGAAAAGTCTGTAAGTACGTTTATTTGTGAGTTAAGCGTATTATTAGCTTCGGAACTTCGTTTGTGAACTTAGGCCTACAACTTATGCCAAAGTGGATATAGCCTGTAACAAACGTTATAGAAGAAATAAATTAATTGGTCATCGTTATATGGACTGAAAATGGGTATTATATTTTTATTAATTAATCCAAAAGAACCAAATCAATGATAAAATACTTCACAACGATGCCAGTTTTATCAATGATAAGATAGTAGTTGGGAAATCCGTAAATCATTTTATTGGTTTAGCTGGTTCACTGATAGTATTAGACTTTTAAAAAAAAAATAAAAACATCAACTATTTGGGTTTTAATTAAGTTGCTATGTGTGGAACCTGAGAAAATATTTGTAAGTTAAGAGAATCCCGTATTTCTCTTTTGGTCCATTAAAACGTTTTGGAACCTTTTACACAGAAATAACCCATGCAAGTAGTATAAAATTAATTTATTGACACTTTGATTACCAATATTAAATATGCCGACACTTAATATTGTTTGATCGCACAGTTGTGTCATTACGCTAATAGAAGTATTTCATATCTGTTTAAAGAATAGAAGCTGAGTACAAAAGTAACCATGTTGGCTATATAAGTGAGTTCGATATGTTGATAATAGAAAAGTTGAGCACCAGAAATAAATGTCAGTAAATAACTTTCTAACAGGATTTATTCCACGTCTTGAAATATACTACAGTGTTAACCACAATAACTGTATAACTGTAATTGTGTTAATGCATTACATAAGTTTCCATTTAAATATATTAGAAATAATTGTAGCAACTTTAATTATATCGTCGAATCAAGTATAAATACATTCAAGAAAAACTTCATGTTTTTAACCATGATAATGCATTAATTATTGGATGATATAGTTTTCCAACATGCCAGTTATGTCATTTTAATTTTAGTTAAAATTGACGATGTCTAATTAGTTTAAAAATAATTCATATTACTTAGGTTGTATGTTTTTCATTACCTACACTTTAAACTCAATCGATAGCTTTTTATATTTTTTATACGTTTGTTATTTTCGTATTTCCTATGTTAATGAGTCTGTAGACATTGCATCGGCTAATTGTTTAGATTATATTTTTTTGTTAGCTTATCCAATAGCGTGACAACGAGGGACAGACAGAGACAACTGTACCCCCAACCTCCGAAAAGATGGTTTCCAAGATTTGTACAAAAACAATTAGCAAAGATGTGGATCTTACTTATCAAGAGCTTCCTCTACAATTTGTAATTATTTAATGGAAATCACAAACACATCTTTTTCATTTCCCCCTCTCCATTACTCTTCTAATATCAACGGTTAAGCAGGTTCTTTTGAGTCTTTTGGTAATTTGGAAGTCAAGGACTTCAACCAAACAGAACATTTTTACAAAGAAATAAGGGACAGTGCATTGTGATTAATTGATACAACGGCGAAACAAAAGAACAAAGGAAATGTTTACGCAAAAACTAAGCCAAAAACATGCACACATTCTAACAAGGTCACATGTATTAATCTCAGTATTTTTACTGAAGTATGTTTACTTATTACGTGCATATCACCATTCTTTGCATTGTTGTTGGTGTCGACCCCAATTTCCTTTCTGTAATACATGCTTTAAAGATTCGTGTTTTTCGACAAGACTTCATAACACGGATCACGCATGGTTAGCCAAAGAAAACGAAAAACATTAAAGAGGTTTTGTTACGCAGTACTAACACCCTAATAACAAATTAATATTGTCTCCACTTAGATCTTTCTGCAAATTCCGTGTTCAACTAATCAGCTTTTAAACACAACATTAAAAGTGGCCAGTACAGAATATAGTAACTTTATAATTTTCCTGTTTTTACTATCCATTCAAATATTCAAACACTATTTGTCACAAGAAGAGGTAATAAAACTTGATGATTTGGTAAATCCAAGTACAGCTACAAAACATTTTACAACAGATGAAATAAAATCATGTTATGAATCATTTATATCTATAAAAATGTTGGGTTTTTAGCCACTTTTACTGTTCAAAATACCGACAAGTAGGACCGGATTAATGAACAATTTAGTCAAACCATAGCGTAGAGTCCCCCATAGAGTCAGCAAAAACTTCTCTAGTATTCAGTGACTATGATTGTTGTTTATAATTCTAATTTCCGTTTTCTGAGCCTTTAATTAATAGACCAGTTTAAAGTTACTATTTATAAATAGATAGATCAGACGCGCAGCCAGCAAGCTAATGATGTCTAGCCGAATTTCTCGGAAAGCTTATTTTAGTTAATTTAGCTCTTGTAGATCAGATGTTTGTTGAATGTTCATAGATCCCTTATGTATATAAAATCATTTTTTTTGTCATATAATAGGATTTTTAATATTTCTAAAATATAAAGCTGTTCTTTTGAAAATTATATATTATATTTGGATAAATATTTTGTCCTGTTACTGTACTCTTTTTTGTGTCTAATTTGGAATGTTTAACGTGCAAATACTATTTGCATTCTATAATTCTATACTACATATGGACCTATATAAAGGGGTCCTTGCTCTGTCTTAGCTTGTTCTCATCCTCCCCTGAGAGCTTAATGCCTACAAGATAGCACTTAATTAACACAACCTTATCTGCTCGCCTTGTATTTAACTTTATGTTTAAAATGCTACTTAAATGCCAAGATTAAAAGCGACCCATCATGTGAAATAATCCTTTTCTTAACATCAAAATGAGAAACTAAAATAAGCTTTTTTGCAAGTTCAATTCACGGGGAAGTAACGAATTTCATACGATATATATAGATTCTTTCATTAGAAGTAGACCACATAGTAACTGAATCTCTCGCAATTGCCCCCCAGTGGCACAGCGGTATGTCTGCGGACTTATAACGCTAGAATCCGGGTTTCGATACCCGTGGTGGGCAGAGCATAGATAGCTTATTGTGTAGCTTTGTGCTTAATTACAAACAAACAAACTCTCGCAATTAGCCAAAGGAATAAAAATTATACATATATATAATTATCATTTATTTTGACTCTAATCAGCTAGATTACAAGTTATGTTTTCGCATGCGTAACAGGGCCGTGTCCACCGAGGACATTTGACCGACAAACCCCCATTGGAGAGCTTAGCTCCGCCAGCAACCCTCCATCTAAGATACTGTCTTTTAAGATTTTTATATTCCCTACATTGTGACTCCAACTGACATGAAACGCTACTAATACTAATTTCAGAACTTAGATTGTTCGTTTTGTTCCATATTTGAGTTTTATTTTATTATCGTTTAACATAAGTTATTGAATTAGCACTGAAACATGATTCTTTTTATGAAGTAATAATTCGACTATGCCTATGTTAGATAGAAAATTTTGTAGGTGCTATCCTCTGTTGACAAGTTAGTACACTACTATGTACCATTTTCTCACGTTTATGCAGAGGTACTTCTGGTTTCGAGACACTTTGATTTAATTAAATGTGTTATCATTTGATGATTACGTTTTATGTTAATTATATATGCATATATACTATGATTGGTTGACAGTAAAAACTAATAGCTTTTATTATAGAAGTTAGTTTACAAGCATTATAAAAAAAAGTAAACATATCGGAACAGGCTACTTGCAATATAAAAACAAATACGTCTGTTTTATGTATATATAAGTGTAATGTATAGAAACCAGAAGAACAAGCATGTAAACAATAGCTTGCTCTTTGAATAGAGTTGTTTAAACATTTGTTTAACAACAAGTAAAAGCTTGGAATGGTCTATTCTTTCATTGGGGAGGGGGGGGGTGTCTTGAGTCAGACTAGTTTTGGAGAATTCCACTCCTCATCAGTGACCCTAGACACTACCACCAATGAAATAACAGATCAAACCAAGCCTTTATAGTAGTGAGGTATCAAAAATCGAAATGGTGTATTTAAGTGTTTTAGACTCACAAGAAATAGAATGATAGGTTTCTTTTTTGTGAGTGTAAAACTCTTAAATACACCATTTGGAATAGCTTGCTCTGATCGGAAGGTAATATTAATAGTAACAGTTAAAGAATAAGAAAAACTTAGTAAGAATGCAGTGAATAATTTACTTGATAACTAAATTTATATGACAAATTTAAACTGCAAACAGTTTTATGATGATATTTTGGAATATTCCGTCTGAGATCATAACCCTTATTGTCTTTCCATATGTCTGCCGTCAGCTAAGTGTATTTGGTATTGTAAAATCTGCGAACTTGCAATAACCGTAGTTAGCACTCGTTCTGTCATAACGTATACAATCGTTGATGATAACTTAGAAAATAAAAAACGGTAAAAATATTTCACTTTATTTTCTCGGGTCATCATAAACCGGTTTAACAGCTTATTTTTATGCTGAAAACAAGCTAATATTTGTAATGAATGCTATTGAAGAGCCCTCTTTTGACGTGTTAGCAAAGTATACCTTGTGATATAGTCTTTTGACGGACAAAGTAATGTGAAATTTATATGATTATTTAGCGAATTTTTACCATCAATTAACGTATACACACACAAAAAGGATGAAATGGAAAACATGTAAGACATATATTATTTTCATATTTCTAAGGTTTTTATATCAACATTTTATTTGAAAGATTGTTAAACTTGTATATTTAATTTGAGCTATCTGTTGCTAATGGCAGTAAATTAGTAATGCTAGCCTTTAGTTTAGAGTACTTTAGGTTATGGCGGGTATTGCAGCTTGTGTAGGGCTAAGGCGCATAGTTTTACTTTTTTTTAGCAAAAACTACTACTAACGTAGTGGTATTGCAATTAGTAATATCAGGAGAGAGGGCAATGGTCTTATCCGAGTTATCGTACAAACTGTAGGCTACGTAACTTTTTAGTATTAGAATTAGATTAGAACAATGAGCTAAATAGACATTAAGGGGTAAAATTATTTAAATAATTGGAATAGAAGTAAAATATTAATGTTAGTAAATTGCATTCCAACTTGCAAAGCGATTTTATTGCCTTTACTTTAGTGTTATTATCTACTAAAAGTTTAGTAAGTATATTATAAAATATCTAAGTTTGAAAAATAACGTTTGTGCTCAAAAGTTTCAACATTATAAGTTATATTTAATAGAGGACATCAACATCACCAGATGTGTGGATTGTGGAATTAAAAATGAACTTGGCTCCACAAGCACATGATGTACTGATGTAGCCAATATATGATGTGTAGGTAGTTATATTCGATAAGGATTATAGCATTGTAACAATAACATAAACCTCTGAGATTATGTTTCAGAGATTATTTAGAAGCATAATGAATGTTAAAATGCAAAATTTTAAAACTTGCCATGACCATATACATTATTCTTACTCTTAGTGCTGATACAATATTCTATGGTTCTAATGTTTTCCAAAGCTTGCAAAATAAAATATTTAGTGAAAGTCACATAAATTTAAAACTATATATGAGTTTCTATTGTATGTGAAAACATGCATTTTCTGTTCACTTAATCTCTTTTTTTTTTCTTCTTTTTTTAGTATATGGTGGTTTCTTAGCACTGTGTAAGTTATAAGTATAGTGAGTAATTAAGATGGACCATAAAATTGTTAAAAATTTTTAGGGAAGCATTTGTGAAAATTTGAATTTAACCACTATAAGTATTGTTACATTGTTTGAGAATATTTTTTACAAACATAATTAAAATTAGAGCAAACACAATTCAGTTACAGTCTAAGATTGTTAGGGCTTTGAACAGTCTTAGTATAGATAATCTGGTTAAGTAGTGAAATGAAATAGTTGGAAATATGTTCTTTAATATAATATTTAAGGTTTAAATTTTGACAGCCCAGACACAAACTTTTTCTTTAGTTATGTTCTTTTTCTGTAGAATGATTTCCCTAATTTTCTATGCTGTTACTTTGAATATTTTTAACATTCATACTCGGTTGTGAAGGGCTACATTTGTCTTGGCTTTGCTGTTTTGACCTGTAGTGTGTGTGAGGTGACCTTGAGCTGAGTGAGTTCTAGTCAGCTTTCTCTAATGTTATAAATGATACACATGTACTAATATGTAGTATTACATTACTTTTTATAAGCAGCCAATCAAGGGAGTTTTTCAGGTCTGATTATTTAATGTCAAAGATAATTATCTTAGTGATATACATTATCTGCATGATGAAATTTTATTTAAGTCATGTACAAAATTGTTAAGGAGCCATGTTTCCAAAAATTAAGTTAAAGTTAGTTTAATGAAAGCAATATAATGATTTTTCCCTCCCCTCCAAAACAAGCAAAAAACAACAACAACAAGAACATTGAACAAACTTTATCAGAGTGTACGGAGAAGCAATGCCTATGTAATTCTATATTTCAGTATTACATACATGTCCAGATATTTCATAAAGATTGCCTGATTTGACAACAAGAGTTTTATGTGTGAGGATGATGTTTTCATGTAGTTATAAAGTTTCTTTAGGGGTTTGAGATAGTATCATCGGATCTGTGGTGTTAAGTACACAGCATTACATTCCAATATAAATTATGTACCAAAAGAAAAACACATGACTTACCTCAAGATCCAACTTTTTTATATTGTTCACTACTGGAGGGGTCCACATATTACACCATTTTCAGTAATTTTTATGTTTTTTTGCCATTTACAACACCAAAAAACTGCCACAAAAATTGGGCAACATCTCTAATTTTCTGTGTGAAATAAAAAGGGAACCTGAGCATTAATTAGTGACATTAATTTCAATATTAATGATTTTCTATTTAAATTTTTGGGCTTACATGTTATAAGGAACCTGTAACCAACAAAGTCATGGACCAGTAAGCAATTTTTTGTTTTGTTACCATAATTTAGGCAAACAAATGTGATGAAAAATCTAATGGAGTCCATATGGACTCATTGGATAATCCTATAGCTAAAATAGTCCCTATTAGGCTTAAGACTTTATTAATTAACATTTAGTTGGAATATTTAATATATATATATATCAAAGACTGCTCTATCTTAGTTTTTAAAAGTGGATAGAACAATATTGGTTCAGAAGTAGAAAGGTAAAGATAGCATGAATAGTTGGTCTTTGGGTGGAAGAACCCTACCATTAGTAGCGAGGGTACCCCACTAACGAACGAGTGCCCTCAGTGCAGTACAACTTTTTTCTTCTGCATTGTTTTTGAACATTACATATTCCTAGTTAGTCTGTTCTACGTAATGAACCAAGTTGTCACTTAAGTTATTTTTTAGTTCTGGTCTGCCTAGTTAGGTTGCAAGCTTGCATCGATCATAACTTATTGATAATTACTGATAGATTTCTATAAAATTCAGTTCAGCACATACTCAGATATGCCTTATAACATTCTGAATAAGGTTGGTCCAGGACTTGAAAAATGTGTAGGAGCGTTTTACTTTAACAGTGTTTAGTGTGGTGCACATGTCATTCAGGTTTTGAGCATATTTCTATCGTGGTAATATATCTTGTAATCTGCTTCACCAGGTAATGTGTCAGAAAAAAATTTCTGTGGAATCTTCCGAGTAAGATTATGATTTATGTTTTTATAGTCTTAATAAATTGTATTTTTTATGTGAATGTAGCATCAACATTGGATTAAAACTGTCATGGTTGGCCTATGGAATGGGTTACCTTTGGATGTTGTGTAGGCAATAAATTTAAGTGAGTTTAAGAGAAAAATGGACAACTATATGAATGATAGGGGCTGGCTTTTAGTATTTTTTTTTAATACTTTTAGTTTAGAGGATGGGGTAGCCTAGATGAACCAATATGCCCCCAAACATTGTGATGTTATTTTGTATCGCATGCACTGACACCATTCCTACATATGCTAAACTGTGTAATCATTAAGTTCACAAATAATTTTTGTATTTTCTCAAAGATAATCTGTTTCTCAAATTATATTTAATTAATATAATTTGTTTGTTTGAATATCTAGCCCCGAAGTACGTGTAGTACTTTAGGATAGCCAATGTGGAGAATCACTTCGTGAGCCATGTCTTCTACTAACGATGGGGCTTCAGGGTCCCATGAGAAGGTGAATTCTTTCAACCATGACCATGGCAAAGAATCACCGGCAAGACAGAGAGGAGGAAAAATGCTTTCTGTACAAATCAGATTCTTGGATGATTCTATAGCAGATTTTCAAATTCAGGTTAGTTAGTTTCACTGCACTGTTGTCATACGATCTGGTTTTTGGAGAAAATATCTTTTTATGTTTTAATATATATTTTTTGTATAGATCATATAGAATCTGTTTGATATATGTAACTGGATGCTAATTAGTGATTCTTTTTATATTCTCATAGATAAAGTAGATGTTTAGGGTTAAGTAAATTTACTTGATTTATTGAATTTTAAGAAAAATAAATATACAAAGTAGACATGCAATGCACGTAGCGACGTATCACGGAAAAATGTTAGCATCATTTCCATAAGTTTCCAAGGGTAAAAAATAAAAGTTGAATTAACTTTAAATTAAAAAAGTAATATGGCAGAGTATTATTGTAATAAGTTTAAAAAAAACAAACATTTATTTCCTCTATTTCTTTACATAAAATTTCAACCATTAGTTATAAATCTGTGATATCAACATATTCCAGCATATTGTAACACCAGTGTTTCTGTTCTTACCCTTTGCAGAAATATTTAACATGGTTTTTGTCATTCCTTTCCAAAACTTTACATTTTTTTTCTGGAAATGTTTCATATTTCTCTGAACAAAATAAAAAATTCTTTTTAAATTAAGATTACAGATCACATATAATATATATTTGTTAAAAGTACTTTATTGTTACTAGTGGGTGGTTATACTGAAGTATGAGTTAGATGTATATGAGATACATTGTTGTTAATATTGTAGTTATAATTGGTCAGTTGCATCTATGTGCACACATATTGTATCATAGATAAAGTGTGGAATAAAAATGAACTTAGCTGTTTTCAAAAGCACTTTTTGCTATCTTTATTAGTGTTATGATAGCAAAAAGTAGAACAGAGGGAATCACCATAACATATCAATCTATTGGTATGTAAGACATTTAAAATGACATCTTATTTAACACTACATTGTAGTGTAAGTGCCAGAACTTTATACAGAAATGATTTTTATGTTATATTGCGATTATTATGGCAATGCAGAGACACAGATATTGCATAATAATAGAACTTATTAAAGTGTTATCAAGCCAATTCATTGTTATTTTCCCAAATGGTATATTTTCTGGTCATTGATCTTTATAACTCTGTAAGATGCAATTTTGTAAAAAAAAAAAAGAATTAGGTCTGGTTTTTTTATATTGATTTTCTTTGCTGAAATTACATGTCATATGCTACTGTTGCCTTCTTGCCTCTCCTTATTGTCCCTGAAGCAACATATTGACCCTGTGATATGGTTTTATTTTGTACCCAAAGCTTTTAGCTCTTTCAAACCCAGATCTGTTTATTACCAAGGCAAGACAGTCCTAATGATTTAATTGAACATGAAGCTATGAAGAAAAATAAGTCATTTACATTGTGTCCCCTCTGCTTCAGTTACGATTAATGGGGGGGGGGGGGATATTCTCCCTCAACTTCCACAGAGTGGGTGCCAAAATTCTGAGCTTTTAGGGGTTACATCTAATTCTTAACACAGTTTCTGAAGACAACACTGCAGCACTTATTCCTTATACGCAATCAAAGTAAAGCTTTTGTAATTAGATAAATTACTAACTGCAACATCTAGGTAAAACAAGTAATACATGCTATTATTCAAATATTGTAGGTGGTAGGTATGGGTGGGAAAGTAGGAATACCAAAGAAAACACAACATAGAAGTGAATATTAAACTTAGGTTTGTACTTTACACGAACATGTAAGACTCACGCAATGAAAATTTATAATTTATTTATGGTGGGAAGCTGACTTTCCTGTTAACATAGTGGCAGTAAAAGAAATACATAATTGTTTTGAAAGCATAGCAAGAATACAGTTTAAATTCATAACAGTTTTTAATTACGGTAACTGATGTCTAATTTTATTGATACGTACATACACAAGAAGATGAAATAGTAGTCCAGTTTTACATAGACAACCTCAGACATTTAAAGTATTTGTTCAAGAACTTATTTTTAGATTTTTGGTGCGCATATAAAAAAAATAGTTAACGTTCCTCCTCGTATTGTTGTACAAGTAACACAACTATTTGTCCATTCTCTGTAGGGTGCCATATTTTTATTTTTGTTGCATCTTTCCTGTTAAGAAACACCTGGATAGTAGAAATGATAATTTGAATACCAACTTTTAAACATTTAGATAATAATGGTTATAGCCACTGCTCTAAAATAATTTATAATATTTAGATAATAATGGTTATAGCCACTGCTCTGAAATAATTTACAGTATTTAGATAATAATGGTTATAGCCACTGCTCTGAAATAATTTACAATATTTAGATAATAATGGTTATAGCCACTGCTCTAAAATAATTTACAATATTTAGATAATAATGGTTATAGCCACTGCTCTGAAATAATTTACAATATTCAGATAATAATGGTTATAGCCACTGCTCTAAAATCATTTTTATTTCAGAGCAGTGGCTATAACCATTATTATCTAAATATTATAAATTACATAAATAAAGCTAATTTTAAAGAAATCTAAAAAACACATTATTTTGAAAATTTTCTTGGTTATACTTTTTTTCAGTGATGAAACTGAAAACAGTGCCACATTCTTGAAAAGTACATTAATTAGCATTTTCTTTGGTATATAAATTTCATGTCCATTGTGAAAAAATCTCTTAAGATTTAACAAAATACATTTCTCATATACAATATTTCAAATACAAAGACATGCTCAATAAGACTTGTATCAAGTGTGTTTGTTACAGTACTAACCACTAACAGGTCATCACAACATGGTTGTCTGTAGTCTCTGTAATATGTCTTGATGTTCCAGCTCTCAAACCTTTTATAACCAGGTGTGAAACAGGAATATTTTTTGGACACACTATCAGCCGAAAGTAGCATCATAAAAGTGAAATACATAAAGTAAAAGAAGTTGTCTTATGTTGAACACTTCATTTTCTGGTAAATTAAATACTGTATATAGCACCATAAACCTTACCAGTAAGGGAATTTATCCTAATACACAAGTTTTTAATATATTGCAAGTGTTAAAGAGAACTTCTCATTTTAGTGCACTTAAAGCTGCTTTAAGTATATATACATGCATTTGGAAAAGATTTTAGGGTTATAGCATGTGTCCTTTTATGGTACAATTTCTGTTGTCAGCACGTACAAGTCAATAACATGTCATTGTAGGATGTAATGCATAGTAACTTATATTTGCTTTGGTACAGTCTGTTGTGACTATTGTCAGCACGTGTGTGTGTAAATCACTAACATATTAGTGTAGGATATAATGCATGGTAACTTATATTTGCTTTGGTACAGTCTGTTGTGACTATTGTCAGCACGTTTGAGTGTAAATCACTAACATATTAGTGTAGGATATAATGCATGGTAACTTATATTTGCTTTGGTACAGTCTGTTGTGACTATTGTCAACACGTGTGTGTGTAAATCACTAACATATTAGTGTAGGATATACTGTACAGTAGTTGATATTAGTTTTTGTGGTTCTTGGTTAAGACGTTTACTTCCAAAGTTGCCAAAGAGGAATCTACTGATGTAGTCTTTTAAGATTGTAAATGTAATTGGTTAAATGACCTGCATAAAATGTAATTGGTTTTGTAAAGTTACACACAGGTTTTCTGAAGTGATCTCTATGGTGGTTACTGGTATGAACAGGTGTCTTACACCTGTTTTAAATTTAAATCAAAAGTTGTGTTTACCTCTTACAATTATACAAGTGGTAATATGTTTACAACATTGATGCTTAAATAAGTAGTTTTTATTGAAACTAAATCATGCTGACTTAAAATGAACAGCAATACAGAATATTAGATTAACAGCAACAAAAGTTTCACTGATAAATGTGTTGATTAGTAGCATGGTGACTGTTGCATGCTTCAGTTATAGCAGAAAAAAGGAGTACAAGACCAATTATGAAAATAAAAGATATTTTGATAAATGTTTATATTGCTCTGTTGACAGAAAAGTTAACTTATTAAGATGTTTCAAGCAGGCGTAAAGTGGGGTAAACTCAAACTTTACTCTTTTAACTCTTCCTACATGGGCTGGGGCATTTTGACCTACCTTGTAACTACCATGTAACCACAGAACTATACATACTATAACTTTTGATAGAGTAAGTATATCTTCATGAAATTTGGCAGATTTTTTAAAAAAACTTTGAGATTGTTGTATACAATATATCAGTCTTTTTAATTAAGTATTTCTACAAAAGATTTGTCTATGCATTTTTGAAGCCTTTACTGAGTTGGTCGAAGTGTAAGCTGATTTTCATGTTAAGAATAAAGATACAGTTTTCAGATTTCATTTGCATAACTTCTTGAACCTCTTAAATGAATATCTAATGTTTTTTTTTAAGTAAAAACATATTTTTTATCGTGACACGGCTGTATCTGCCTCAGTCAAATTAACCAACTTTGTAACCACCATGTAAAAAATAAATGAGTTACCCTTTTTTCTTTCTAGAATGATTGCACATTGTAACAGACAATTACACACTATTTACTTTTTACTGCCAAAGCTGATAGATTTTGCATTTAATTCCCTTTCTTTACAGTTGCACTTAGATCCTCTCAGAATATGGGGATAGCTGTTTTGGCAATACTATCAAGTGGTTGTCGATATCATGTGATTGTTAGCATGCACTCATTGCTGCGAAAGTAAATAAATATACAAGCCTCCATTTCCTGGTACAAACAGTAGTGAAGTTAGGTTAGGCACACCTGGCTCCTGAGTTTTTGGGCTGGTTCCTAGATCTGAAAATATTTGTTGAGGCCTTCACTAATGTAAATAGAAAGTCTTAAAACTAATATCATTTATTTAGCTTTTTAACTAATCCAGAAGTTGTTTAAATAATTGGTCAATTAGAGTTTGTTTCTGGCAAACAAAGACAACATGTTCAGAACTGTGTGTTTATTCCAATGGCTTCAGGCCCTGTCACATTCAGTAAATTGAAATCTTCTCCTTTATATAGGTTTAAAATAATTCAATAGCAAATGTCAGTAAGAATTATTG